CAACACATACACCTTAAACATACACAAAAAAGAAAAGCCAAGGTCACCTATGATCACCAAGTCTTGAAAACAGGCTGTTAGTGACAGAAGGAGACTTAACCTGCCGTAGCCTTAGAAGTGGTTTCCATAAAAAACAAACACACACACACACACACACACACACACACACACACACACACACACACGTTAGTGGCTTCAGTACCCTCTATGAAGCCCTCCCTGTCTTGTGTACATTTGACCACTCCCATCATGTGTTTCCATTGTACCCCATAAAAACCATTGTTGAGACATATGTGACATCTTTCTTTGTATATCTACAAAGAAAAGTGTGTTCCTTCTACTGGACCATAAACCCTGTGATCCCCTGCCATAAAAAAGGGGGCGGGAAGCATTTGCTACTAAAACAGGTATTTGGTTTTGAGTTAAAATCCATTCCTATTATTTATTTATTCTACTACTCAGATTGTCATCGATTTGGCTCCTCTGTTCTTTCAACATATCCCCATAATTTTTAAGTTTTTATTTTGTTGTGATAAGAACACTTAACCTGAGCTGTACCCACATAATAGCTTTAGAACTGTACAATACAGTATTGTTAAACTATAGGCACAACATTGTACAGCAGATCTCTATAACTTACTCGTCTTGCATAATTAAAACTTTATACCCATTGAGTAGCAATTCCCCATTCCTCCCTATCCCCATCCCCAACCTTTTTGAAGACTTCTTTATTTTTTAGTACCATATGATTTTCTAAGCTCTTCTTGTATTTTTACTGCTCCAATACTAAAGTTGGACATTTCTTCAAGAAATACTGGTTTCTTTTATTTGCAAATGGTATTTAGAAATCAAGATCTGGGTGTTAGTTGAACTCAGTATGTGAACTGTTTATATGGATAACTTTGATGCCAGCCAACACCGCAAAGTTTATTTTAACCTATCTCTTTTCCTTACATATAACTCCTTTTTCCAGTGATGAGAAACCTAGTTCTCATTCTCAATATGTTCACTTATTTGCTCAATCCTAGAATACACTTACAATAGTTTCAGAACTGTTAACTTATAGTCCTAGGAAAAACAAACTAACTTGAGCAATCTATTTGTGTGCATTTCTTTTTGTCTTTGGCGTTGGAGTGTACCAGTATAGTCAAAATACTGTTTCCAAAGTTCGTTTTTGTTTTTCCCCCCTTTTCAACCATTTCAGTGTGGTTATGTTATTTATTTGTAATATATTTAGGTTAAATTTTTGTTTTCATTCCAATTGGGTCCTTCCTCTCTAATCTTGACTGATTTTGATTAATTTTTGGTTATGTGAAACTGACATGGCTCTCCTCAAGTTGAGATTCTCTGATGATGTTGCATAGTGAGTTAATGCTCTAAATGAAAGGAAAATTATACAAGTGACTTTTCTCAAATACCTCTTTTACTTACACATGGCTTCTTTTCTAAAATAAGATATTTGAAGTCATCTGTAAATGAATACCAATAGATAGAACCAGTGGTAACATTGTTATGTGACCTGTACTTTTGTCTATACAAATTCATATGTGTATACATCGTTTTCATACACTATATATACCGTTTTCCCCATTTTACTGAGTTATAATTCAAATAACAAAATTCACTGTAGTGTATAATACAGTGGCTTTTAATATATTCACTATGAAGTGCAACCATCACCACTATCTAATTTCAGAACATTTCCATCACCCCAGTAAGAAACCCCAAACCTATTAGCAGTCAGCCCCAAAACATACTGTTTGCACTTTGCCCTTTTTTATTTAATATATTGTGAGCATTTTTTCACCCAGTTAAATATTCACCTAAAACACAATAATTGTGCAAAATACCCGCCCATGGACACTGAAGTAGTTTCCCCAACATCTTGATTTTCTTTTAGCACCAATCAGCATACATTTTAAACTGATCCCGCATACTCATTTTTTATTTCTATAATAGAAATTTACTAAAGATATGAATTAGATTCCAGTTTATAGGTATATTATCAAGTTAATGTACCAGTTCTAAATGGTTCAAGCAGCTAGAGTGTTTGATACCCTATATTTCACAGGAGGGAAAGCTTAGAAACTGCTTTTGTGTGTCAGTTTTCTTATAATCAAGCCCAGGTCCTATTAATTTTGTATTTTCAAAAATAACTGTCACATCAGGTTTACAGATTTGCCAAGACCCTGTTAACCAGTATCACCTGGTATCCAGGCCAAATAGTGATGGTGACTAATAATGATAATTAACCCAGTATGTGTAATGTACTTTGCAGTTTGACAAAAAAACACACTTTATTTTCTTATTTAATCCTCACAAATCTCCTGTGAGGCAATTAGTATTATTTCCATTTAAAATATATGAAAATTAGGGCTCAGAGAATTTACATAACTTGTTTTTGGAGCCATCTAGGAGGTGACAGAACAAGATTTCCACAATAGCTTTACTGACTCTAATTCCAGGACTCTTGTACATCATAGTTTGGGTTTACCAAGCCTTGGACTCAGTAACTTAACAGCCCCACATGGAGATGGGTTGTTATTCTCTCTTACCTCTCCCTAGTAGGAGAGCTCATGAAGATTTGCCATAGAGATCTACCTACCAGTCTAATCCCTAATTCCAGATGCTTGGTTTGCCTACCATTGTGGCCTGCAATTCATTCAACTGCCACCAGATGGAAGGAATACTCTGTTAAGGAAAACAAAACAAGCATTAGAATGGCTAATGGTTACCAGTGATCTGTAATTAATGGTTCCCAAATTGAGGGAATAATTTATGTAGGTGGTACCCTCTGTGTTCATAGGATCTCTATGTCCATTATCTCTTAGTTACTGACTTAGCAGTATTCCTTTTTCTAAAAATTTAAATTTATCTTTATTGTTAAAAGTATTATAGATGTAGATGTTCCCCTTTGCCCCCTTCAACCTGATTCCCTCCCTGCCCCAGGCCTTCAACTCCCTTTTGTCTGTGTCCATAGGTAATGCATATATGCATATAAGTTTTTGGTTAATCTTTTCCAGTCCCCCTCTCCCCTTCTTTCTGAGATTCATCAGTCTATTCCATGCTTCCATGTCTCCCGATCTATTTTATTTGTCACTTTATTTTGTTCATCCCAAAATGATTTCTAATACTTCTGGCCCTCTTTGGCTGAGCTAAAAAGCCCTTCTCCTGCATCTTCAATTTGCTATTGCCTCACCCCTGGAGTACTTCAGTGACAGATGTTCTTATTTCTGTTTCTCCATGCAGTCTACCTTGCATAATTCAGCCAGATTAATGTTTGGAAAATGCCACTTTTCAACTGTACTCCAGAAACTTTACTCTCCATTGTCTAAGGATTAGTCTGGCTTTTAAGGCACCCCACAGTCTCACCCTGTCTTGTTATCTGTTTAAGATACAGAAGGCCTTATCTTGGTTCCTGCTATTAACATATCCTATTCATCTTTAGCACCTAGTTCAGATGCTGATTCTTTATTTATTCAATCAACAAATGTTTGAATGTGTTACCCTATGCCAAGCACTGTTTTAGACCCTGAGAATTCATAATGGAATAAAACAGACTAAGTCCCTGTTCTCATGGAAATCACATCCTAGTAGGAAAGTCACACCTCCTCTTCCCACAAACTATCCCATAATCCCCATCAATCACTGCCTCCTCCGACCTCACAATTTAGAGGGTATAGAGGGGATAAATGGTGAGGAAAGGAGACTTGACTTGGAGTGGTGACCACACAATACAGTGTACATTTGATGTATTATAGAATTGTGCACCTAAAACCTATATAATTGTATTAACCAATAGCACACCATTCATTTCAATAAAAAAGAAAAAGTATGACTCTAGAAATGCTACGTACATTTTGCATTCTACTAGAATTGATACATACAATTGAGTGTTGCCCTTCCAGGTGATGAGCCCTTTGGAGCTATGGCATGTACTCTGATGCTGTATGAGTTATTCAAAACATGTATAGCACTTTTCTTTACGAACATCCTCCAGAGCCTGTAGTATACTCACCTGAATATCCTCAGCTGTGGCAGATGCTCATCCTTTGAGGATGCATTGGATTTTTAAAAACAGCCTCAGGTCTCCCAGTATAGAAAATTATCTAAGTGAGAATGTGTGACAGAAGGAAGTAGACTGGTTTTTTGACATGTCTCAAAAATGGGCTCTTGAAGGTGCTGCCCAAAGGGAAATCCAGAGAAAACACAAGAAGATGACAAGCAGCACTCAGATAATGTCACAGTCTGCCTTATTTAAATTCTCTGCTTGAATTTTTTTAAACCTGTATTTCATATTCTCCCAATTAAATTATAAGTCCCTTAGGAATAAGAAGTTTCGTTTGGGTTTTTTTGTGTATGTCATCCACAGTGCCATCTTTGCATATAGTAAATGATCAATATTAATATGTCAGTTGTTTGATGAAGCAGTGGTAAAGGCAGTAAAACATTAGCTGATACTGTTAGTGTCAACATACACTGTAATAATTTCCTGACTCTTATTGGCATTAATTGATTTAAAATACAGAGTGGGCAAAAGTAGGTTTATAGTTGTGAGTACATGAAACAGTTAATAAAGCTATTGTAATAATCATAACCTTCATGTCTTTTCCCATACGAACAACTGTAAACCTTTTGTCCTGCCCTTCATATACTTACAGCTTTATGTCATTCTACTTTATGATTTTGCAAATCTAATTGGCATTTAAGATGCAGTACTATTAGGTACTTGTATTGTGTGATTTAATTTCTTCACACAGAAGACTAGCAACAGGTTTTTATAAAGTGAGATCTCTCTTCTGCCTTGATAGGGCAAAAGTTCTTATTAATATGAATTAGTCATTTATTTTGGGGTTATTCACTTACAACTCTAGAATACAGACTTATTGCCTTCTGATGTTAGAAGGGCTTAGGACTGACTGTATGTAATAGTTTCCTGTTTTAGTTTAAAAATTTGATTAATTGAAAACATTAACGCTTTTCTCCACTTCCCCCCCCAGAACCTTTGTTTCATTTTGCCACAATTTTTGTACCAGTTCTTCTGCGGATTCTCACAACAGGTTTGTTTCCCTAGTTATTTGTTGTCATGTACTTTACATTTGCTATTAATAATTTGCCTTTTTATGTATTGGATTATAGGTATTGGAGAGGTATGTCCGAAGTAAAAGGAGGGTTGTTGTTTTTTACTCAACTGTTAATCTTGGCTTGCATTTTGACAATAGCAAATGTTTGCGTTTTTGCTTTAACAGTGTTCTTGTTACTTTGTTTTGAAAATTCTTTAATATATCTGATTAGAATTGAGATAACCTTTAAAAGAATATTCTGGGGGTTTTTTCTTTGTATCAGTGTATACAATGTTTTCCAATAATCCTAAAATGTTATAGTGTAATATTTCATCAAATAATATCTCACACCTTTGCAGTTTCTCAGATTGGTTTTCTAGAGAAACGTTGACCTTTACTAGTAAGCTGGCCACGAAGCTGTGATTCCTGGATAAAACCTTGGATTACTTGAGTAACTCTACATTTTTTACCCTCTATTGTCTTCTGAACATTTATTGCATAAAGAATATGACATATGTTAACTTGATATTTAAGTGGCAGGATAAGCAGACACATTTGTCAGTTTGTTTTAACAACTGAAATGGATTTTGCATTGTTTCTAGTGGAAGTGCAGCTAAATATAGGAACTATAATGCTCAGTGACTCAGAAATTTTCATAGGTAATCTGTGAGCAGTTCAGTGATTTTGCCAAACTGAACTACTGGTAACGTCACCACAGGTATTACAGATTGAGTTTCTAAATTTCAAGGTATGTTTAATTCCTCGTGGTAGGAAGTGATTTTTTTTTCTAATTTCTTGGCAGAATTTTTAAGCGAATGTATTCTGTCAAAGGGAAATGACTGCTCTCTTTGTCTTGAACTTACCTCTTTACCATTTGGTATGCTGTCTCTTACTTACATCGGTACTGCCATGTCATCAGCCACATAGGGCCAGTTAAGCAGATTGCTTTATGAATTAATCATCTAGCTGTAGGAAGTGCTATCAACTTTCTTGTATTCAAAACTTACAGTTTTAGCTACAGAGAGTTTTATGGATTCTGATGAGTCTGCTTTTCTTGAACATTGAAATTACTATTGATCCAAATGTTTCTAATTCCTCACTTAGATGAATGCAAGTATTAAAAAACATTTCAAATTTTGTTGCAAAATACTAAAGGGAAATTGGCTTAATCTGGTTAAAACATTGTTTTTTATTTTGGAAGGAGCCTGTTGCTTTGTTATCTTTTTAAAACATGTTTATGAAAGCACAAATTTTATGAAGAAAGGAAGGACTTACTCCTAATAAGGTCAGCTGAGATTCAGACTCTGGGCTGTCTGGGGTCTGTTTAGGTTACCTTAACTGCTTAGATTTTCATAGGAGTTGATGTTTGGCTTCGTTAGTTGCTCAACTAGTATGCTCATTCACTTAACAAATATATCTTGGGTGTCTAGTATGTGCCCGGCTAAGTGCTGGGGATATAACAATGATCAAAAATCTTACCCCCGTAATGCTGGGGGAAAGACAGACTACATTTAGATAAACATATTGTCAGTTGCTGATAAATGCTCTGAAGGGGGTGAAAAAGGATAACAAATGGATAGAGTGACTGGGGAAGAGGGCCACTATTTTAGAGAAGATGATTTTGAAAGTTCTCTCTGATGATGTGACCTTTAGGTGGAAATGTGAAGGATATAAGGGAAGGAGCTATATGGATGTCTTAAAGTAAACAGAAGGTTTCTGAGGTGGTGACCTGGTGTATAACATCTTTCGTTTTGAATTTGGCCTAGTGCTCTGCGCTGAATGTAGCAACCTTTTTTTGCAAATATTCTTGGAACCTTTTTCAACTTAGGTCCACATCAGGTGTTCTCTGCAAGCCTGAAATTTGGAGGGTTGTGCTATGGAGAAGTAGAAGTGGGACCAGGATTCTGATTCTTTAGCAAAAAGCAGGTCTTTCTTTAGCAAAGCTAGAGTAGTACTGGTCATGAAAATAAAACGTTTAACAGTAAGTAACTAGGGGACAAGAGGAAACCCAGAACTTCTAAATCCAATTCCAAGATTCAAGGTTTACACTGAAGAAAATTTTCAAAGCTCAAGTCCCTTCCTAAGATAATGCTTTTTATATCTTCTTTCTAAAACCTGGTTCTCACTAGAGATTTATATATTAAAGGGGATAAGACTTTTTTCTGCAAAATACATCAAACATGAGAATAAAGCATAAAAGTGTTAATAGATGTATGTACTACTTTTCTTATAAATGAATGAATGAATGAATGAATGAATGAATAAATAAAACATTTACAACAGGTTTAACAAATAATATTATCAAGTAAAGCTGTTGTTTTAAGGACATTCTATCTTCTCTAATTATGCATCTAAGAATTACAATTCTCTTTCATGTAACCTCAAACTACCATAATGGAACAAAAGTAGATTTTTTTAAATATATATATTTATTGATTTCATAGAGGAAGGGAGAGGGAGAGAGAAAGAGAAACATCCATGATGAGAGAGAATCATGGATTGGCTGCCTCTTGCACGCCCCACACTGGGGATCCAGCCCACAACCTGAGCATGTGCCCTGACCGGGAATCGAACCATGACCTCCTGGTTCATAGGTCGAGGCTCAACCAAGGAGCCACGCCAGCCAGGGCTCAAAAGTAGATTTTATTTTCATTTATCTCTATTGTTGAAAGTATTACAGGTGTTCCATTCCCCCCCTCATTGACCCCTTCCACGTCAGGCCTACCGCACCATTGTCTGTGTCCTTGGGTTATGCATATGCATATAAATTCTTTGGTTAATCTCTTTCCACCCCACCTTCTCCCCTGATGCTTCTTTTGTTTGAATGAAATTCGAGACTAAATTATACACCAATCAATCGGAAGATTTTTTTTCAATTTTCTCATTAGCAAAAATGGGTAATTGTATATCAACAGACTAGTACTCTCCCTTGAGAATTCAGTAAAATATTTTTACTGAGTTTAAATCTTTGTATATGAGAAGTATCTCCATGTTCATTGAGAATTTTGCATGCACATTATCTTGCTTTGTTTCTACAATAGGTAAGAGTTGTCCCTTCCTCTAGGCTCCCCCAACTCTTTGTACTTTCACCACCCTGCCTCCCCCTCTGCAATTTGAGTGCCTCAGCTGACAGGGTACTAATCTTCTTTGTCCCCAGTGCTTGTCACTTAGTAAGCACTCAGTAAATGTTTTTGAAGTCAACTAATGAATGAACCAATGTTCTATTCAAGTTTTTCTCAACGTTTTTGAGGCAACTCCCATTATGATAGTAAGTGAATCTTTATAACTATTGTTTGAAAATGCATAATTGTATTAATTTATGTCACATTTAAATACATTTTAATTAAAATAACATTTATATGTGTGAAAGTACAGATAAATATGGGATATTATTCATTCAGGCCACAGGTAATGGTTGTATGAAAACATCTAGCACTGTGTAGAAAAATACTGAACTCAATAAGTATATTCATTAAAATGAGGATCAGATAATACCTTAATTTTTTTCCATAAAGGAAAATTTACAATATCAGATCATTCTTTTCCAAATGTGCTGTGGCTTCCATTATCTACTCAATCATTCATCCAATATTTATTGAATGCTTTTTATATGCCAAGTGCTGTCGTAAGAGCTGAAGGTTGTCAAAGCCCTCTAGCCAAACACCACCAGGAACACATTTGTAGTTGATCAAATTTTGTTTATTACCGGATGCAATGACAAAGAATATACACCATGAAGAACAGTGGGGCCTCTCAGGAAGAGAGTATTAGAAAGGTCTTATAAGATTTGGATTGAGTTAGGTAATTTGGGAAGGATTTAAGAAGATTGGGTGCTGTTAATTTTATGACTGGGCGTTTTAGTAAATCTTACCCAGAAGGAATGAAGACTAGAAGGAGGCTAACCCTCTTATCGGTCAAGAAGCAACAGTTACTCATCTTAGCCAGAATAGGGGTGTTGGTCATTATTTATGATTTGAAAAATATTCATGCTCTGTCTGTGTTCAGATGTGATTGTGGAGTGGTCTTGTTTTTGTTTTGATCCATCATAGTCACAGAATGGCCTTGTTTGATGTTGCATTTCTGTGAAATTGTGCATGTTTGGCAGGAGAACACCTATGCCTAGCTATAAGTGACAGGTCAACTCTATGATGTCAGGGGCCGCTTTACTCTTTTTCAAGCTACAGCGATCTAATGTGAATTGAAACAAACAAACAAAAAGTTGGGATAGCAATAACTTATACGGGTCAAAATAGGCTTTAAAACAAAGACTGTAACAAGAAACAAAGAAGGACCCAGCAACTCCACTTCTTTATCTAAAGAAACCTAAAACACTAAATCAAAAAGACATATACAATAAATAAATAAAAAGAAAAAAGACATATACATCCACATGTTCATTGTAGCATTATTTGCAATAGCCAAAATATAGAAGCAACAACAAACACACACACACACACACACACACACACACAATGGAATATGATTCATCCATAAAAAAGCATGAAGTCTTGCCATCTACAACAACATTGGTAGACCTAGAGGGTATTATGCTCAGTGAAATAAGTCAGAGAAAGACAACTGCCAGATGATCACTATATGTGGCATCTAAAAACCAAAATAAACAAGCAGAATAGAAACAAATTCATAGATACAGAGAACATTATGACAGTTGCCATATTTTGGGGGTGTTAGGACAGGATGGCTGAAGGGATTAAGAAGCACAAATTGGTGGTTAAAGAATAGTCATGGGAGGTAAAGTACAGTTTAGGGAATACAGTCAATAATATTGGAATTATGCATGGTGCCAGGTGGGTACTTGATTTATCAAGGGGGATCACTTTGTAAGTTATATAAATATCTAATCACAGGATTATACACCTGCAACTAATATAATATTGTCAACTGTAATTTAAAAACAAAAACATATTTAAAACATTTTTTAACTCCTTTTTCAAACTGTCTTGTTTTAGCTTGTGATTTTTTCCAACACAACTTCTTGAAGATGATTGTTCAGTACATTTTTTTCTCTTTCATTGTTTGTCATTTCAGCCACTGTATGATGCTGCTTACCTTACAATGTACAATATCTGCTTCACATCCTTGCCCATCCTAGCCTACAGTCTACTGGAACAGCACGTCAACATTGACACTCTGACTTCAGATCCACGATTGTATATGTAAGTTAAACATTACAGTTCAGATTTCCTCAGACTTACAAAGTTGTGGGTTTCACTTTGTATGAAGAAGGGAAAGACACAGATTGCCCACCTGGTTTGATCACATGATTCTCTGGCATTCAACAGGAAAATCATATATTTCCTAGGTGTAGGTACTGTACTTGAATGTGTTTGAGCCATTTAGTTAAAAATCATTAATTCCTAAAACTTGCATCTACATTGTCATAGAGTTCTGGAGTCTTAGAGGAAGACACGATATTTTAACTACCAAAAAAAAAAAGCCTCACACAAAGATCTTTATTAGTTTAGAACATTGATTTCTACCTATAATAGATTGAACTGATGATATTGTTAGGACTTATCTTGTAAACTGCCCCTGAAGCATAGCTTCTCTCTCCCTTTGTTAGGCCCATTCAAAAACTGTTTGTTGAAGGAATTAATTCATCAAGCCATTATATCCATTTTGTGTCAGTTGGAAATGCATGTGTTTCTGTATGGATGGGGACTTAGCACTAGCCCCAGTTGCTTAACCTATGACTTAATTGGATTTTTATAAGTTAAGCCTTAAAGCTAAGGATAAAGATGTTAATTTACAGCAGATTATAAACATTGCTAAATAGTGGATGTCAAGTGCAGTACATAGACTTGTGTGGCTTATTTGTATGAAGTGAAGGTGTACAAATTAAGGGATTTCTTTAACCAGTATGACGCATAAAACTCACCTTAATTATTAGACCTAACCAGATTTATAAAATATATCATCATCATTTTAAAGGTATTTATTATGGGAATTTTCAAACATGCACAGAAGTAGCAAAAAAATACTATTGATACGGTGAACTTCCCTGTCCTTACCACTCAGCTTCACCAATTATCAATACAGAGCCAGTTCTCTTTCATTAATAACCATCTCTGCTCCACCAGAGACTTATTTTGGAGCAAATATTAAGCATTGTCTAAAATAGTTATTTCAGTATGTTTGTCTTAATGATAAGGACTTAAAAATAACAGTACCCTATCATACCTTAAAATTTTACAAGTTCATAATATCACATATTCGGCCAATGTTCAGATTTTTCCAACTGACTCATTTCTTTGAATTGCAGGCTTGTTTTAATGAGGATATAAAGTCCATATGTTGCCGTTGGTTAATATGCTTCTTGAGTTTCTCTTTTTTTTTTCTTGAGTCTCTTTTAATCTGTAGGTTAACCTGGCAATTTATTTGCTGATGATATGGGATCATTTATCTTATAGATTTCCCCTGATCTAGAGTTTGCTGATTGCATTGATGGCATCATTTAACGTTTTTCTTTTCCTGTATTTGTTGCAAAGGGATAGTTAGATCTAGAGGGAATCATAGAAACCTTGGTTGAAATCTTACAGAGTATCATCTCCCATGCTCTCATTTAAAAAAAAAAAAATGAAGAACCAGGACCCAGAAATGACTTGCCTAAGAACACAGGGTATAACTAGAAGCCAAACTAAGATTAGAATGCAGTCCTCCTGATAATCAGCCCTGTGCTCTTCCCAGCAGGATGATCATTCTCAAACACTGAGCCAACAGTGTATTCTGTCTTATGACAAACAACAAAAGTGAAGCCCAATAGTGCTATTGCTCTGATTGGAGTGGAGTTTGGGGAGCAGTGCGCAGAATCCCTCCCATGCAGCCCCAGCAAGTGCTCAAGCTAATTGTCTGAGTTCCAGTTCTGGCTTTGCCACTCACTAATTGTGTGACCTGCACAGGTTACTTAACTGAAATGAGCCTCAATTTCATCTTCAGTAAAATCTGGGCAACAAGAACACCTAATCTGCAGTGATTTTATGAGGGTTAGATGAGTGACAACACATAAAAGAACTTAAAACAGTGACTGGAACATAGTAAGTGTTCATAGATTGTAGCTATTGATATTATTCTAACACTCTCTTCCACTTGACTTCTGGGCTGTGCTGAGCACTTTCATACATTAAGAATGTTGAAAACTTAAAGAAAACTGTTGAGCACAAATTATTGTAAGGGTTTTCTGAAGTTTTACTTACTGAACAGCAGGTGTAGGTAATGAACCATTTTGCATAGAGCATGGTTCTCAACCTTGGCTGCACATTAGAATCACCTGGGAATCTATTTAAAATCCTGATTTCTGGGCTTCATCCTCCGGAAATAACAAAGAAACAATTTCTGGAGGATGAGACCCAGAAATCAGGATTTTAAAAAGATTCCCAGGTGATTCTAATGTGCAGCTAAGATTGAGAACCACTGGCATAGAGGGTATACTTGCCACATCTGATGCAGAAATGAAAGCCATGACATACCTGTTGACCAGCCCAAAATTCAGTTTTCTTTGTGTGCTCTGATGAGACACTGCTCTTGGCCTGTCACTGTAGATTACTCTACAGGGGAGGCACCTCCCTAAAGATCCTTGCAAGAATTGCCCACCAACTGCCAGCCAATGAGGCTTTTGAGAGTCACTGTCATGGGCTGAGTGACGCAGAAGGTAGTCCCTGTGTTTCCATACCTTCTCTGGAGTTACGTTATACACTGTGGGAAGATAGGCAGGGACATCATAGTATGTTAGTAATATTCTGACTTGTACTAAGAAGATTGTACTATTTTTGACAGATTTTAAACTTTTGCTCTGTTCACATCCCATTTATCAAATCATGACTGTACAGCTTCAAACATGTTATTTGACTCAACTAAAAAAAGTATAAAGGGCATCCCAAGACCAAAAATGGTTAAGCTCCCAGGAAGAAATCTTGATTAAAAGAAACATTTTAACAATTGTAGTTGGGAAGCAGAAGTATCTTGTTTGAGAGCATATGATTTAGGTCAAGTAAATCTGGAATTGTATACTAGCTCTGTCTCTTACTAAATGAGTGAACTCTGATGTGCTGCTACACTGGTGGTTCCCAAACTTTACTGCATGGTAAAATCACCTGAGGAGCTTTAAAAATATCCTGATGCCCAGCTTAGTCTTATACCAATTAAATCAGACTGAGGTTGGGAGCCAGGCATCAGTGTTTTCAAAGATCCCCAGGTGATTCCAATGTGCATCAAAGTTTGGTATATCTTTTGAGGCTCCTTATCATTTACAGATAGGAGTGATAAAAATACCTATCTCAGGTGGTTTTTATGTGGATAAAAATGGAATATATATATATCTTGTAACCTACTTTTCTGACATATAATAAGTGCTCAATAAATGGGAGCTAATTATTATTGATTATATTATTGCTGTCAGGTGACCAGAATTTTAACGTAGAAATGCTTGGACAGTTTACTTCATTACCTCAATCAGGAGGTGATTGCATAAAAATAAACCTGTGGTTCAGTCTGACCTTTTACTGAAAGCCTTTCAGTCCCTCAGAGCTAGCTCCTTTCATTATAACAGGGTCAAACCCCATGTGCACTTTTGGCAATTTACCATAACTTTAAATAAACAGACTACAGAGATTCATTAACCTGCATTTCCCCCCCATTTCTCAATAGGAAAATTTCTGGCAATGCCATGCTGCAGTGGGGCCCCTTCTTATATTGGACATTTCTGGCTGCATTTGAAGGGATAGTATTCTTCTTTGGGACTTATTTTCTTTTTCAGAATTCATCCCTAGAAGAAAATGCAAAGGTAAAAAAATGACATTGTTCTTTTGGTATTATAAGTATGGCTTATCTTTTTCCCATGAGCACTGGATCAAGCATACACATATTCTAGCTGTAATCATTTTGCAATTTTTTTAAAGGTAGACTAATTCTCACAACTTCTTTAGAACAGTAGAAGTGTTGAAGTATAAAATCACTTCCTATGTGCATGGCTAACTAGAGAGCTTATGTGCAAAACGTTTGGAAGCTTAACTTAACTTGGCTGTAATTTTTATTGGATGAACAAAGTTCTTGGGACCTCAGACTTTGGGCCACTGTACTTTGATTTGAGCAAGGCTTTTTCTGTTTTAAAAGGAAAGTCTAGACCCACTCAGTTCTTATTCATAGTGGCCTTCCATGCTTAGAGTTCAAGGGGGTAACTGACATTTGGAATTCCCTTCTCTTCCTCCTTCCCTTCCACATGGTAGCATAGTATTTTCCTGAAAGGCTACACTGATCCTGCCATTGCCTTCCCAGCAAGCACCAAATAGTTTAGCCCTGGCATTGGAATGATTTTGCCCTGTCTGCTGTGGAAGAGAATGGAATGATGTCTTCCTACAGCCACACAGTGGAAAATCAAACCAACTTGTATGCTGCTTTCACTGTGTTTGCTATTTCTGGGCTTCCTCTTTTATGGTAATTCATTATTTATCATCATAATGTGAAGCAAAGCTAAGGTTCAAAAAGAATTTACTGAGTACAATGACTGTGTCTAGATAGAACCTAGAATCAGTATCTGTTAGGGAAGTGATAGGCTCAGTGGGTTTGAATGATACTTTAAATTAGGTATTATAGTCAAAACCTCTCTAATTTGGATTGACAAGTCAGTTTAGTATGAATCCATTAAACTTATTAATCACCATTAACTTTTGAGGAAATACAAATCTAGTACTTTAGAATAGGTTCATGTAGCACTTACCAAAAAGTGTGCCCTACTTAATCTCTCTGCGTGTCCTTGGGCAAGTCACTTCAGCTTTCCAAGTCAACTTTGCCCATCAGTAAGAAGAAGGAATTCAATTTTATGATTTCTCAAGTCTTTAGCTTTATGAATGATTTTGTGACTTTCACTTTTTATTTGGCACATAAATTATATAGAGCTGACTCTTGCTTTTTAAAAAATGTGCTGCAGAGTAGGTGGATATTCTGCAGTCCCATTGACATGGTTCTTTTGCTCAGCAAATTCTTCAGGTGGTACATGGGGAGCCTCAACACAGCCTACGTCCAATCCATCACCCATGTTCAGTCCATGATGTCCAGATTAATTAGATTTTACTGTATATGTCACCTTCCTAAATGTTTGCTAAAGTTACAGTAAGTGTAAGAACTGTTATCAGCAGTTAAACATAATGCCCATGTATGATTTGATCAAATTCTTTTTTTTTGCTTCTATTAACCTTAATTTTTTGTTTTTATTTTTGGAAACCTTTTACATTTCATTTTCTGTTTTAATGTTATGCATTCAGATCTTGACAGCATTTGGTAAGCATATGTGCCATTCATTGCCATCATTTGGATTTATACATGGTATCCGCTTTTCTTTGATGTGCACATGCTAACAGCTCTAATGTTTACAGCCAAAAATTAGACTGTTTTTAAAGTGTGAGTCCATTTGTCTGCATATTAGTCCTTAGTTCAGAGCTTTTGTTTTATATTATAGAAAAAGCCCATATCAATCTCTTTAGAAATATGAGTCATGCAGTGACTTGTTTTGATGAACATTGTTAGTGGAATAGTGTTTTTTTCTGCCTTTATCATAGCAGTGTTTTCCCTGTTTCATGCTGCTTGGAATAATGGAAATAAGTGCTACCAACCACAAATGTGGTTTCCCTGACCAAGAAAATTTACAGTCACAATTAAATCTAGCAATTTGGCCTGATCCTTTAACTTGATATTCCCCAAACAATTTATACAATACTTTTTTGCAGTTATACACAAGATTATATTTGACTTTTCTTTTTTATGCAGGTTTGTGTATTCTTGGTACATGTAATTATTAATTTTTTTTCAGGTGTATGGAAACTGGACTTTTGGAACCGTTGTTTTTACAATCTTAGTATTCACTGTAACTCTGAAGGTTAGATTTTTTATTTATTCAAGTATGTTTAACACCATTTTTATAATACTTTCTAGTCTTGTACTAATACTTCTTTTTTGTCTTTTAATCTTTAATTTTATTATGGTTGTCATCCAAGATGAATGCTTACTAAAATATGTATGATATTAGTGATTTAGGCATTTGTATACTATTTGTGATTCATTTTTTACTGTATGTTGTCTATCCTCTTTATTTCATTGTTTGTTTGTTTTTAATTCATACACCATACTTATGTCGGAAATCTGTTCCTTCTTTCCAGCTATTTTCAAGATGTTATAAGTGGTATATAATCAGACTGTGTGTGTGTTTTTCCATGTTAAGTACTTGAATATTTTTTAAAGTTTTATATTTGTTTAAGAATGCCAGGCCTTAAATGAATCTGAGTACTTAAGACAGTTCAGCAAGATCACTATGCAAAATAACTTGGTAGTGTGAAATTTTATATAATGTATTTACCACTGAAATTTATATTAGTGATCAAATGCATAAAAATATATAGCAGATAATATACAAGAAGGGTTGTTTAGGCAAAATCATTGGCAGCCATGTAATAATGGCTCTGAAGCCTTGATAAATGCTACCCTTAAGGCTCATGAATTGGGACTGTCTTATAGTTGAAAAAATAATCCAATTCTTTTAATGGTTCCAGTAATAAACACCTCACATGTGGTCCAAGAATGAGTGCCTATAAATGAATTCCAGTATGCCCAGTAGTCAGAACTAGAATTAAGAAATGTAATAGCCAAAACCGGTTTGGCTCAGTGGATAGAGCGTCGGCCTGCGGACTGAAGGGTCCCAGGTTCGATTCCAGTCAAGGGCATGTACCTGGGTTGCGGGCACATCCCCAATAGGAGATGTGCAGGAGGCGGCTGATCGATGTTTCTCTCTCATCGATGTTTCTAACTCTCTATCTCTCTCCCTTCCTCTCTGTAAAAAATCAATAAAATATATTTAAAAAAAAAAAGAAATGTAATAGACTTCTAATCATTTCCCCTCTAAAATTTAATTCCTGGTTAATTTTTTATACCAAAAAGAACTAACATATGTTTGCATCTACTATTTCAGTGATATTTTGGGACTACCAAAAATGTTACAATTCATCTCAGTTTAGCTACTTAATAGCAGGGTATAACCTTGGACAAGTGATTTGGTTTCTCAGTATCTCTATTTCCTCTTTTATAAAATGGAGATAAAAGTAGCACCTACCTCTCTTAGGATATTTTGTGAGAAGTCAACTAATGATACATAAAGCACTTGCAATGGACGCTGGCACCTAGAATGTGCTCAGTACAATAAATGTTAGTTGTTTTTTATTACTATGATTTACAGGGTCATGATTTGAAATAGAAGCCTCCCCACCCTTTTTCCCACCTGGCCTTGTGTGTGGTCCCAGGGCTTTCAGGTGCCCTTCATAGTTAAAGTTGGCCTTACTGCAACATCTTTCACTAATCCTTCAAAAGACATCCACTCCCTTTTCTTTGGATGGATATTATTGTAACATTATCTCTGACAGCCCAGAGGATGAGCATTCAGGACTGGGCTACATTAACAATGTTATCAACATCCTGTTTATGAGTGTGAAACTAACAGAGAGCTAAGGACCATGGTGTCACAACAAGTATCAAAACTGAGATACCACCTCCTTTTTAATAATTCAGTGCCCTGGCCCAGTGGTCGGCAAACTTCGGCTTGCGAGCCACATGTGGCTCTTTGGCCCCTTGAGTGTGGCTCTTCCACAAAATACCACGTGCGGGTGCGCACATAACAGTGCAATTGAAACTTCATGGCCCATGGGCAGAAGTTGGTTTTCGGCCTGGGCGAGTCTATTTTGAAGAAGTGGCTTTAGAAGGAGTGGGGGGTGTTGGTCGGTCCGGGCAACGGGAGACGCAGGGGGGCCGCGGGATACGAAGCGCAGGGGAGGTACATTGTTTTGAGCTACGTTCGCTGAGGTCGGCCCCTTCCAACTCTCCCATCCACACTCATCTATCTGAAAAAAGTATACAAGACGAGTGTGGATGGGAGAGTTGGAAGGGG